ACGCCGTGAAGGACTGAAATCCTGCAGCGCCCGCAAGGTCCCCCTGCTCAAGAAAGCACATATACAGGGCCGTCTGAAGTTTGCCAATGAACATCTGAATGATTCAGAGGAGAACTGGGTGAAAGTGTTGTGGTCAGATGAGACCAAAATCGAGCTCTTTGGCATCAACTCAACTCGCCGTGTTTGGAGGAGGAGGAATGCTGCCTAAGACCCCAAGAACATCATCCCCACCGTCAAACATGGAGGTGGAAACATTATGCTTTGGGGTTGTTTTTCTGCTAAGGGGACAGGACAACTTCACCGCATCAAAGGGACGATGGACGGGGCCATGTACCGTCAAATCTTGGGTGAGAACCTCCTTCCCTCAGCCAGGGCATTGAAAATGGGTCGTGGGTGGGTATTCCAGCATGACAATGACCCAAAACACACGGTCAAGGCAACAAAGGAGTGGCTCAAGAAGAAGCACATTAAGGTCCTGGAGTGGCCTAGCCAGTCTCCAGACCTTAATCTCATAGAAAATCTGTGGAGGGAGCTGAAGGTTCGAGTTGCCAAACGTCAGCCTCGAAACCTTAATGACTTGGAGAAGATCTGCAAAGAGGAGTGGAACAAAATCCCTCCTGAGATGTGTGCAAACCTGGTGGCCAACTACAAGAAACGTCTGACCTCTGTGATTGCCAACAAGGGTTTTGCCACCAAGTACTAAGTCATGTTTTGCAGAGGGGTCAAATACTTATTTCCCTCATTAAAATGCAAATCAATTTATAATATTTTTTGACATGCGTTTTTCTGGATTTTTTTGTTGTTATTCTGTCTCTCACTGTTCAAATAAACCTACCATTAAAATTATAGACTGATCATTTCTTTGTCAGTGGGCAAACATACAAAATCAGCAGGGGATCAAATACGTTTTTTCCCTCACTGTACTTCTCAGTAGTTGGTTTTCAGACTTACCTTATGCAGGTGCATTACAGGCTTTGCAGGTGTGGTTCCCTTGGGCGCCTTGGATAAATGTAATTCAACCTCTGAAAACCCTCCCACTTGCTGGCCAACAGATTTTCTCATGGAGTTTTCAGTCAACAGGGTTTTTCAGTACATTTATCTAAAGCCATCCATTTAAATTGGGTGTACCTTTAATTGTCATCTAGCGAGTGAGGAATGTGCAGTCTAATGTGGCATCTAGCGAGTGATGAATGTGCAGTCTAATGTGCATCTAGCGAGTGAGGAATGTGCAGTCTAATGTGTCATCTAGCGAGTGAGGAATGTCCAGTCTAATGTTGTCATCTAGCGAGTGGGGAATGTCCAGTCTATTGTCATCTAGCGAGTGAGGAATGTGACAAAGTCTAATGTGCCATCTAGCGAGTTGAGGAAATGTGGCATCTAATGTGCCATCTAGCGGGAGTTAGTGAGGAAAATGTGCAGTCTAATGTTTCATCTAGCGGTGGAGGAATGTCGCCAAGTCTAATGTGTCCATCTAGCGAGTGAGGAATGTCCAGTTCCTAATGTGTCATCTAGCGAGGTGAGGAATGTGCCAGTCTAATGTGTCATCTAGCGAGTGAGTGAATGTGCAGTCTAACTGGTGTCATCTAGCGAGTTGGGGAATGTGCCAGTCTAATGTGGTCATCTAGAGACGGTGAGGAATGTTCCAGTCTAATGTTGGGCAATCTATGCGAGTGAGGAATGTCCAGGTCTAATGGTGGCCATCTCGCGAGTGAGGAATGTCAGTCTAAAATTGGTGTCATCTAGCGAGTGAGGAAGTTGCCAGTCTAATGTTCCTCTAGCGAGTGAGGAATGTGCAGTCTAATGGTGTCCATCTAGCGAGTGAGGAAGTCCAGTCTAATGTGGCATCTAGCGAGTGAGGAATGTGCAGTCTAATGTGCCATCTAGGGATGGTTCTGTACTGCTGCTGCTCATTTCATGGCAAAATTAGCAAATAACAAATAATAGATACAAATGATATACTTACTCATGGTATACTTCTGCCAGGTAAGCCTACTTTGCAGTTAACATTTAATTGGGAAGGTTTTGGGGAAAGTATTTCTGTCAACCCACAAGACAGTTATGACATCAACTGGCTACACACAGAGTGATAGACAAAACGTGCTCACCATAAAGACAGACAGGGGCAATATTGCTGGAAATTAATTGGCAGATATTGTGTTAGGTTTGGCATTTTAAGCAAATAGTGGCTAACCAGGGGTGGTGATGCATTGATTAGATAGTAGCCGGGAGCTTGCGGTATCTGATACTTATGAGATTTGTTTATGACAGTTTGCGATGAAACACATAAAAAATGCATGTACTTTCAGAATTGTTTGGCTAGCTACTGGTAGCTTGCGATCGACCTGTTGGAGACCCCTGCACTAGAATATATGGCAAGAACAGTTCAGAATAGTAAGGATCAACGAAAGAAAGCCATGTAAATACACGCATATTAGTGTATTTTAAAGCATATCTTGTATATTATTTAGGGTTAGGAAAGTATTTATGAATAATAAAAAAAACTGGTTTGGAGAGCCTTTATGCACAAAATATATTGGTGAATCAAAAAGTGGTTTGATTCATCCTGAAAGTTGCCATATTCAATTGTTCAATGCAATAAATATTGGAAGGTGAGAAAAGTATACAATAGGGGTTGAACAGTAGTCCTATAAATCTACTCTAATAATCCTCATTAATCATGTAACTGTGATGTCAACGGTTCAGTTGGTGCGCCAGGTTCCAGCTTTAATTATTCAAAGTCTAAGGGGAAGGTCATACAGTACCATAAATCATTTAGCTATTTGATTTTGAATTGTAGGACCCCTTTATGTATAAAAATATGTTTTATTTGGAATAAAATATTGAATTTGGCCTTTACTACTATAGCCCATAGAAACACATTGAATAACAAATTCATAAATGGCAAAAAAGACAGTCAAAAAATGAATCACAAGGAATAAGGTTTTGAATTGTGTGTCCTATATCTAGGAGATATAAGCTCAGGAAACATTTGTTTTTGACACATTTAACCCGTTATTTGTGTTGGCACAAAACTATCTGCATACATTTGTATGGGTTACCTTTAGACGAGTCCCGTGACAGTTGTGGGGGTCGTAGAGAGTCTCCCCTTTCTACAGTGGGGTCATATTAGTTTGTAGCCCAAACAGTTTGGACGCTACAGACAAAGTTGGCACATCAGCATTACTGACTTCAGACGAGTCCCGTGGGGCTTGTGGGGTTGTAGAGCAAAACGGAGAACACGATTGTGTTCGTGAGAGTCTCCCCTTTCTAAAGAGTCACAGTTTGTTGGCCAAACCGTTCAGATGCTACAGACGTTTTTGTGAGAATTGCAATTTTCGGGATGTCTCCTGGTCTGACAAACAATGTTGTAGCTCTGCCACTTTCCACTTCAGATGTGGAAGGACGACATAGGCGGATGCGGTGGATTGAGACTCAGGCCATGCAAAAAAAACAGATATCTCTATCTTAAACTGACATATTCTGATAGGGATTTTTTTATGTTACTTTGATGCACTGGTGCGTCAATAGACTCTGCTACAGATGGTCTGCGTTCCATAAGGATTCAAATAGGCTACATGTCCCAAATTATTTCACAACCTGTAATACGTTAGCCTAATATGATCCACTATTGCTAGCGATCCTCAGGAACAACCACACGAACATGAGAGGAAAGAAAGATAAACTAATGATGGAATGACGCAAAATGTAAGGGAACTAACACTAAAGTGTCAGTTATACATTTGTTGGTATAACTGACGGTGGCTACCGAGTGTGGCTAATATTTAACATGAAACAAATTGTAAAAAAAATACAGAAATCAACTCTGGTTTGGCGCTATGCTGTCATTTGTGCATGGCTATAGAAACCTATAGCTTGGGTCTCCAAATATAATTTGTTATAAGGCCAGCATTTCATAAACTTCACTATGGATAAGGTGATATGCTTCGGTTTGCTGCCTTATGACGGATTTCACATTGGTCTCCAGCGATCACAAGGTAAAATAGATCTAAAACAATTGTCATTTAGATTTGCAATCACCTTATCCAAAACGAGTTACTCATTTACCTAGCTTTTATCAGTATTTTTTTATTCACCAATGTCTCTCCAAACCAGTTTTTACTGTTCATAAATACATTCCAAACCTTAAATATACAAGATCAGAGTATTTGTATATTACCAATTGGTGCTGTAAAGGAGACATGACTGTATTTACATAGCTTTCTTTCATTGATCCAACATATTCTGAACCATTCTCTCCATATATTCTACCACTGGGCAGAGTTCAACATCTAGATTTGATTGGGTTGTCAACGAACGCGAAAACAAAAAAAACAAAAAAGTCACGAGGTCATTGGATTTAGGTTAAAACGAAACATTTCCCTTATTACTTTTCTCAAATCCAAAATCTGTTTCACATTGATGCAACAAAAATGTATTAAACATTTCATGGAAACAGTGTTGATTCAACCAGTTATTGCCCAGTGGGTAGTGAGTCTGTCGAGGAAATTTAAAACAATTTAAGTACAAATTTAAAGTTATGACTTTAGATAAATGTACTGAAAACCCTATTGAAAACTCCGACAAGCTGATGGCCAGCAAGCGGGAGGGTTTTCGGCAGTTTAATTAAATTGTATTCAGTGTGCGCTAGGGAACCACGCCGTCATGTCATAGAAGCCTGTTTGTTCATGCATATAACATTCGATCTGAATGTTTTACAATATCGTGCCCAGCTGAACATGCCCCAGGCTTTAGGATGGTATTTTTCAGGAATAATGTTCTATTTAGAAACACAACCACGTCGGTCAACACCACTTTGATGTCACCCTTTTGGGTTTCAATAACACCTTTGGTTCCAGTTTAAAAACAGATGAATGGCACAATAAATTAATACTTGAAGCACTATATTTGAGTAGTTTATTTTTTATTGCACAAGTGACCATTTATTAAATCACTTCTTCATTGCAGGCATCTTTAGTCACGGAGTGGATGGCCTGTAGAGTTTAGGAGTCCTCCAGGAAATACTTATTGGGTGGAGCCATCCCCCTGTACCAGGTACAGGACCCATCACTCCTCTTGAGACAGGCAAAGTTCTTGGCTTGGGGTCCGCTTTGGCCATCTGCCAACAACAAGTCCGTCCAAAGGCACTCATCTGGGGTGCTGACCGGACAGGGGAGGGAAGAGCAGGGGATGATCTGTGTATCGGAGTAGGGAGAGAGAAAGACCAAGATGACGGACTGATCATTACCCCAATATTCTAGCTCATGTGTTTTACCAATGTGACCAGAGTAAATATTGAACAGAACTGGTGTAAAGTAATATTACTATAATTCCTGTCACACACCGTGCAATCGCAGCCGCTTTGGTAGCGTCGAGTCAAGCTCTTCTTTTGTGTGCCACCCAGGTCCTCCCAGTACTGAATAAAGTCACACATGATTATGTGCATCCTCCCATTAGGATTCAGCTGGCCTGCAGACAGAGAGGAGACAGTGAGCAATCACTGTGCTGTGGGGAAAACTTGGTGTAGGGTAAAAGTGTTCCCTAGACACTGATCTTGGATCAGTTTCACCTTTGTTCCCCCAGAAACGGTTAAGATTAGGGGAGGGGAAACTGATCCTAGATCCAGGAAACTACCCTGGAGCAGGTAGACATACAGATGCAGCCCGGAACACTGGAATTTATCATAATAAATAAGTGATGCATTAGTTGTAAACATTTATAAGCATTATAAACATTGAAATTCATAACATATTAGGTATTATAAAGTGTAACTTGAAGATGTACAGATAAATTGTTTCTAAAGCACTGGTTTTCTTGTTCAAGATGAAGTCAATAGTTTAGAGCAGGCCATGATGCTGGAAGCATAGGTTGAGCAGTTTAACCAGTGCGGGCAATGGAACTTGGGTAACGTAGTGAGAAACGCACCTGTGATGAGATACTCGTTGTTGGTGTCCAGAGTCACGCCGAACGATTCTGAAGAGGATGAAGTGAAGATGGCGTGGATAACCCGGTCAGGACCTTTGAACATCTAGCCAATCACAAGGAGGAAGGATCTGTCAAACATACAGTTTTGAACCTCACTGACTGCAACACTCAGCCACTGTCAGTCTTGGCTAATTCCCTCCCTATTCCCCATCCCCTCAGCCCTAACCCTTTGATGTTTGCAGATCTATAAATATTTATTAATCTAACCTTTATTTTATCAGGGTGTCATACTGAGACAATGGTCTTTTTTTTTTTTTACAGATGATTCCTGAATGACAGAAATGCACACATCAAAATAAAAAATCTAAGCAGCAAAACAGTCATAAAAACAATTAAGTCCTCAATGAGCTTTCTGAATTGCCCTAGAGGCACCAAAACATCACATAAAGAACATTAAGATTGTTCCACAAATACAATGCAAAAAACGTTTCAAGCTGATTCACCCAACTCCATAGAGACCAAAGGAATTTCCAGAGTTAGCTATCCCTGATCTGAGGCCGGCTGTGGTAACGCAAATGTCTAAAGGTTAATAATGATGTCTGGTACAGTGAGAGTTTTAGTAAAAGGGCTTTATAAATGAAAATCCAGCAATTTAGCATCCTACGTGACGTCAAAGAGAGCCAACCAACTTCATGGTAGAGAATGCTGTGATTAGTACCAAACCCGTCACCAGTAATAAAGTGCAGTGCGTTATGATTTACATTTTTAGTCATTTAGCAGACGCTCTTATCCAGAGCGACTTACAGTTAGTGAGTGCATTCATCATTTATTTTTTAAATATATTTTTTTAATACTGGCCCCCGTGGGAATCGAACCCACAACCCTGGCATTGCAAACGGCCATGCTCTACCAACTGAGCTACATCCATGCTGGGCCAATTGTGCGCCGTCGCATGGGTCTCCCGGTCGCGGCCGGCTACGACAGAGCCGGATTCGAACCAGGATCTCTAGTGGCCACAGCTAGCACTGCGATGCAGTGCCTTAGACCACTGCGCCACTCGGGAGACTATGATAAACTGCATTTTAAAAGCTTTAATGAAATGGCAGCTGCATTCAACCAGAGTCTAGGAGTGGAAGGAACGTTGACTGAATAATGTGCAAGAGGGCATGACCCATTTCTATAGAAGATGCTCTTTTTCATATGGTGGAAGCTCCACAATACACCTTTTCTCCAGATTCAAACATTAATTCAAAAAGGTTTTGGCCGTTTAGGGGGGTTAGGGGGTTAATTTCCAGTAAAGGGAAAAAATTAATAAAAAGGGTT